TTGGCAACCCAATTGGGTCTGTGACATCTGTCCAGTTAAGTGCCTCTGGAGACTGCCATCTTGGGTTGGCTAGTAATTCTCGTTCAGTTGCAACTTTTATTTGATAGACTACGACCAAATAGAGGTTTTGCAGACTTATTAAAGGAGCTTTGAATCTGTTGGCGCAATTCCTATGAGGGTGACTTTCTGATTTGAAGTTTTATGTTTAGTGAGTCATTCTCCTCCATCACTTCTCCATTTTTCGATAGCCTCTGTTAACAACTACTTCTCTTTCACGTGAAATGTTTTTCTTTTATTAGTGGTAGTTTTCACTTTTACCGTGTTCGACATTGTCGCTCATTTTACGTGTTTTTGACTTCTCTTCCATGCATATGGAAACCATTTCTACTTTACTTATCTGTGACCTTATAGGATGAGTGCTGACTCGGAAGCCACCCCTACTCAGGTCAATCAGCCGACCGTAAAGGTAAATGTGTCTTTATGGATCTAATCTCCCACCTCAAAAAGATCTGTCAACTAGCAATAAGTTTAGCAGTATTATGATTTTATCTGGGTAGAATAGCTTGCTTTTAAAGAGGAACCGAAATGAGGTGGAATTGAACACAATTTATTTGAAATCTAATTGTTGTCCAGTTTCAGATGTAAAACCCTAGAAAAGAGCATCGATGACTGACGAGGCACAGAGAGAAATTTATGAAACCAGGAATTTATCTCGTCTCTGTGTTAATCACATGATTCATTCTATAAAGAAAAGCAAATCATAAAATTAGCGAGAGGTCTAAAACTAAGGGGAATTTGAAGCAATAACTTGAAACCTGAACTAGTCTCAAACATATTTTTGAACTTAGAAGAAATGTGCAAGAAAAAACTAAAAAGTGCAGACGGCAGTTTTTTGCGGGAAGTTCTTTATTTAGAAAATTAACTAATTTTGAGCATCAACCTAAGTAACTTATTTGCAATGGTATTTTTTTGAATTTAAAAGAAATGAATTCTTCTGTTTTTATTTTGGAGAACTGCAATTTTTTGTAGAGTAAACAACTATATATCAATTAGTGCCCATGGTCGAGTAAATCAATAACTGTTGTTGTGGCCTCCAGCTGTCTGTATTTGTGTAGCGGAATAGTGCGGTGCATTCAAATTTTTAAAATAATTTACCGACATTTCAGCAATTCTGAGGAGAAATCCTGTAAACTGGAATTACTAAAGATTTTCAAGAAAACGTGTATTTTTGAACCGTTTTGTCGCCACTTCGGCATTATCGGCATACCTTTTGAAAGTTTCTACGTTTTTTTTTCAAAACGATATGATTTAGTGAAGAATGCGTGTATCGCAAATCGCATAGAATTTTTAAAAAATTGTTCGATTTGATATGATATTTTGGCGTTGTTTTCATCGCAGTACATCAGGAAACGGTTTTTCTTTTTGTTTTTAGTTTTTTCGCTTTTCTTATTTGATTTTGGTTTATTTGTAATAATAATACAAATGATATTGCAGGAAGAGGGTGCAAATATGCCGGCTAGTGAGGTCAAAACCGAACTGGATGGTTCGTTCGAGAGCCAAGCTTCACTTTATAGTGAGAGATCAAAAAGAAGGCGTTATAAAGCTAAAAGGGACAAGGTCAGCTGCTAGTATCTCCTTTATTTCATTGTTTCCTCCTTTTTGCGTTTGTTATTGCTTTTTTTTGTAATTCTGTTCATTCTTTTCCTTAAGAGTTTTTTGACTAGAACATTTTAGATGTGGTCGGATTGCTAATTTACAATGAATTTCCTTCTATTTCCTTCTCGTAATTCTAACGCTTACATATTTTTACTCAAGTTGCTATACATTGATTAGGTTCAGCTCATTTTATTATTCACTCTCTCTTCAGTCATTCTAAAATGTAAGGAAATAAGACTGCATTAAGCAATTTCGCAAGTGAAGTTATCGGCGTATTTTTATTTTCGCTTTTCTATCAAGCTAACACATCTGATCAAGGGGATTTATCGTAGTGAAACTGCTCAAATCTGGTGTAAATGATCTGATTTTCAGAAACCAGGCGCTACCGGCCGAACCTGGACAAAAGTGGAGGATCCTCACGCT